TACTTCCTTATTTTTAAGTTTCATTTTACCTCAAATATGTGGGAAAAGATACGAATTGATGGAACAAAAAAACTTAAATGTACAGCAGTTCCAACAATATTTGGAGAATTAGTAACTCAACAAAAAAACAAAAAAGCTAAAATTAATCGTAAGTTTAATTTTAACTTTGTACCATTTATTATTCTCTTAGTTTATATTAAAAATAATAAGAATGATATTTAAGTGTGTAATTATTAATAACATACAAAAAACAGGATATTGTAGTAATTCAAAGTAATAGTTAATTTTGTCATCATTGTAATTGTTACTAATTAAGATAATATTTATTTTTATTCAGAAAATACTGCTAATTTAAATGGAATTAAACAATCTCAGATAATAATATCTAAGACAGATTATGATGGTACTGTTACAATATCTATAAATAATCCGAAAGAAGAACAATGTAAATCAGACAATTTTCTATCTGATATTGAAGAAGAAAAAGCAGTAACTCATGAAATAAGCAAAAAATCTGCCGAAGAAGAAATAGCAGAATCATATAGTGATAAAAACATTATGCAAGACGACACATTAGTTTCAAAACAGGAACGTAGTTTAGATAAACAAAATTTATTGTATATGGAAAAAATCAAGAAATTAGAAAAGCTGCTTCGGAAGTCAGAATCACTAAGAATGACTATGGAAAAGAGATATAAACGTTTGCAAAACCAATATAAAAACAGAATTAAGGAATTAGAAAAAAAAGTATGCATTATCAAATAGTTTCCTACAGTTATTCGACAACTTTTTCATGAAGATCAGATACTCTTAAACAAAAAACATTGGTGTAATGTAATGTTAGTCAATATCACTTTTTGCGTACCTATCAGGATATAAAGAACTTTTGCTTCAAAGCTTTCCATTCCATCTATTAGAACATTAAATAGAAAAGTTAAAATTCCAAAGTAGAATATTGCATGAAATTTATCAATTTTTAAATATAAAAGTTTCACAATTTAGTAATAGTACAGTGGCAAGTTGCCACTGAATTACTATTCTCATTTTACTCACTATTTTCGAGAAGAAGGCTCACTTTTGTTTACTTTTTCAGTAAAAACTCGCTATTTTCGATAAAATTATATTACTTCTGTATTTGCTATAATTTCTTTTTAATAAGTTACACACTTTTAAAAATTTTTGCTGCATGTTTTCATTCCTTTTCTGAGTTGAATAATTTGAATCTCATGTCATATATGATGGTGAGATTTTCTTTTACTGATTATTTAAGGAAATTTTTATTTAAGCATTTCATTATAATTTACAGTTATTCCAATCCACATAAATTAAACTTATTGTCATCAACTTATTGAGCGCTAGTCATGAAAAGTGTTATCATATGTACTTGTGCTATATAAGGTAATAGCTTTGTTAGTACGAAAAATTTATTAGAACATGTGATATTACTTGTATAAATGCGTAAAACTTATTACGATATTATACCAAATAATATTGGATTGGAGAAAAAGTTCTGTGGAATTTTGTTAGTTTACAATTATATACAGAATATATTTGTTGCAAAATTTTCAACTATTTGACATGAAAGCTTAAAATTTTTTTAAAAGTTTGTTTTTGAAAAAATAAAAATAGTTTCTATGACTTTTTGTTACCAAGTTATACACAGATTAAATAAAAGAACATTCTGATTTTGATTGCTCATAACTCTGTTAAAAATCATTGTATTGTAATAAAACGGATTGTTAAAGCTGAAACTTTGCTCTATCAAATAATACCATGCTAATTTTTTAAATGTAAAATATATAGAAATTTGAATTATGAAAATGTGATATTACTATTGATATTACTTATGACTATTGCGCAATGGTTATAAGGATAGCAATATCATATTTTTAGTTCAAATTTATCTATCTTATTTTTTAAATTGATAATTATATCACTCAATACATTTTAGCTTCAAAAATCTTTTTTTTTTAATTGCAGATTTTATATGAGCAATCAAAGTCAGAATACTCCTTTTTACTTAACTCGCGAATAACTCAAGAATAAAAAATCGTAGAAACATTTCTTAAAAACGATTTTGTAAGGAAAACTTCAAACTTTTACAATATAGATAGTCGAAAATTTTCGCAAATTTTTTTTGACATGTAACAGACCTATTGAGAAGAAAAATTTTTTTTTTTCAGCTCGTTAGTTTTCTATATATAAAAATTACAAAACTCACATAAATTCAAAAAATATAGTCACTATTCAAAAGTAGATTTCAAGAATTTCAGAATTATTTTTAAATTTAAATTTTGTTTATTTTTAACGAAGATTTTGTATAATTTTGCGCTAACAAAATACCATAGAATTTTTCCTTTAACCTAATATTAAGAGAAAATTATACCAGAAAGTTTTAAATATGTTCTAATTTTACGGTTATAAAAGACTTAATAAACTTAATAAACTAGACTTAAAAAAGACTTAATAAACTAGAATCTTAATAAACTAGATACTTATATTAAATAATAATGTATTTAATTTGAAAATAATAACTTTATTTCCTAAGTTGTTTCAGTTTCTAAATTTAGATGCTATTGTTAATAGAAATTTGTCATTTTCTCTGCCGAACGTGTTGAAACATGTATTCTTAACGATAATGTTTCTAAAATTCAAAAATGTCTTTAGATTTAATGGAATATTAAATGCAAGTATCATTAGCAATCAAGTATCATAATCAATTCTAAAACAAACTAGCTTGTTGCTCAACGTTTAAAAAAATTCACTTTTCTCTCATTATTTCGAATGTACAACTCACTAGTCTCAGTTTTTTGGGAGCACTGAGCTGGCGGCAAGCCGGGTACAGTACAGATAAAGACTTTGTGTTATTTTAGATGAAATAACTCAAGGATCAGTATACATATAAACAAATTATATAAATTATTAAAAAAATTGAAGAAATCGGATTATGTGTTCACGCCGTAATTTTAGATATGAGTGCTTCAAATTAGGCTATGTGGAGAGCATTTAATATTCAAGCATCAAAATGTTCAACAATATAAAATAAATGCATTCATCCATGAGATCAAAAGAGGATTGCTTTTCTTTTTTCATGTATATATGCATTCAAAAATTTCAAACAAAGAATGTTTAATTATGAATTTAACATCTGATGATTTACGAATTAAACCATCAGATAATTATATAAAAAAGTATAATTTATTAACAAATGTAAACACATGCTAAACATTACCAAGAATTATTTAATAAGCAAAAGAATTTCCTATTATCATTATGTTTAAAATTACGTGACAAATATTTTGATAGATCAAAGCATTTTCAAAAAATGCGTGTAAAAAGTGCTTATCAAGTTTTAAGTCATAAAATAAGTGCAGCATTAGAATATTTAGCTTCTGAAGATTCAAAACCAGAATATATATCTATGTCGTGGCTAACAAAATAAATGGCTCTGGTTAAAATTATTACTAACTAAATATTACTAACTAAAAATAGTAATAGAAATAATGAGGGGACTAAGTAAAAATAAATCTGAAAAATAAATCTGAAAAATTTAAGTTAGTGAATTTTCTAAATGAATTTATCGAACTAATTTTATTGTTAACTTTTAGTAACAAAAATAATTAGAAATTATTTCAGAAAAGCATAATATTAAGTATAAAATCGATAACTAAATTATCATCATATTTGTTAAACAATAAAAATTATACAATAAATATGTTTTGATTGATAGATTTACGCAAGCTTGCATCGAAAATTTATTTTCAGTATTCCCTGGTGAAAAAGTTTCGCTGAAATTATTCCACGTTTTGGAAAATTTGCTGAAATTTCGCTGAAATTATTCTACGTTGCTGAAAATTTGCTGAAATTTCATTGAAAGTGAATTTTTCAGCTAACATACTGAAAAATCACTGAAATACAACCGAAATTTCTCTGATATTTTCTGAAGTTTCTCTGAAATTCTTGTTGAAATTTGTCTGAAAATTTTGTCTGAAAATTTTGCTGATTTTTCATAATTTTGTCGAAAATGAATTTTTCAGCTAAAAATTGCTGAAATTAAATGGAAATTTTTTTGAAATGCTGAAATTTTGTTGAAAAGTATTCCAAAACATAGAATAATTTTAACAATATTTTTCTACCTTGGTTACGTATGAAAAATTGTATATTAAATGCACTCCAATTAAAAAACAATTTAAAGTTAATCATCACTGTTTCACATTATATGACAAAATCAACTAGTAATTATAATGAAGATGATTGAGAACTTTTGCAAAGTTTTTTTTATCTATTATTGAAACTAAAAGTAATGAATTATCACAATAAAATTAAAGCAATACCAATAAATTACCATAATTAAATCAAAACAACGACAATGAATTACAAATAAGACAAGTAACGAACTCTCGAGAATGTCAAAATGTAAAAACAAATAAATGGGCTAATGTATTATATGCGCGATTATTATTAGTACGAAAATAAAAGTGTTTATCGAAAAAATATATAATTAATTACGCATAGACGTTTCGAACCATTATCAGTATGTCTAAACATTTGATGATGGCTCGAAGAGCCGAAACGTCTAAATGTAATTATAGATTTTTTTCGATAATAAACGTTTTTATTTTCGCACTAATAACCGCGCATATAACTCTCATTAGCCTTTATTTGTTTTTATACAATGAATTACCACAATCAAATCAAAGCAATTCCTTAGGAAAAAATGTTTCAGTATACTGATTAATTCAGTAACTGATGATATTTCACCAATAATTGATGAACTATCATCAGTTACTAATTTAATCAGTATATTGAAACACTTTTTAAGGGATGACTTATCGCAATCAAATGTTGAAAGCAATGATTTACAACAATCAATGTTGAAAGTTAAGTTGAATAAAACAAATAAAAGAATTATCCTATTACGTGTTGAATTAAATATGTATTTTACATCACGTTGCTGGTCATATCGTTTCCGGTATAATTAAGACGTAGAAAATTTGTCGTAATTGCATTAAATATATCGGCAGTAAAATCAAATTGTAATAAATTAAGTAAATTTAGATGTAACATAAATGATATACTTTTTTTTTGCAAATAGCAAAACTTTCAGTTTTTTCATGAAATGGAAAAAATTTTTAGAAGATATAAAAATAATATTATATTAACTAATAATAATATTGATCTAAAACAATTATTTGAAGATAAGTTTAGCTATAATATATTTTATACTATACCAACATGTCGCAACATTAAACAAAAAAATATTAAACGATATGCTGTATTTAAAAATTATATATGGGAAGTAAGATGATGGCAGTCATGCATAATTATATTAAATAACTATATTATTATAAAAAACCAAAGAAAAAAGGGGCTACGAGCCAAAAATTATATAAAATAAAATAGACCGTCGAAATATAGAAGTTGAACAAAAATAAAGGAACAAATATATCGTTAAGTAAAAATTTAATCTAATATGCAGTAAAAAAACGTTTCGATCACACTCGGATCATTTTCAAATGTTAAACATATATATTTATTACAGTAAAAATAAAACATAATAAATTTTCTATTTCGTTCTCTAAAACAGACGCTGGTGATATAAAAAACGAATATCATAATGTTCATAATTATAATATATATCGGAAAAAGAAACATATACATAATAATAATTATTTGCAGTCAATCATTGAAATGCTTATACTGTCAATAGTAGTAAAATGATAAGCTTAAATGTCCTTAGATTTGAGTAAAAACAGAGAACGCATGAAATAAATTCGACCCTGTACATAAAATATTGTATAACTGAATTATGTCAACATAAGATTATATTATTATATTACTGATGTAATTGTATGCAATTACAGTATAATTTAGATGCATATTATTTTCTTATGATAAATGTTAATATTTATGTTAAAATAGTACAAATATTTAATAATTAGTTTGTGAAATATATTTGTGACTTTAATTATATTATAAAATTTAGTTTTTTTTTTATTTGTGACATACACTGACTGCGTTCCACTTAACGCTCGCAACGCTCGCAAACACTCATTTGTCCTTGTTTAATTTGATAAATGATAAGGAAATGATTCCACGAGCATTGTGAGCATTAAATGGAATGCAATCACTGATATGCATTGATTATGTAATAAAGTTTATTTCAATAAAGTAAATTTTTATTAATATTTTGTGTATATTTTTACAAGTATTACGGATGTTTGAGAATACATCCTGGGGATTAAAATTCTTTTACAAAATATTTACAGACATAATTCTTTGAGTGATAGTAATAAATACAATCGGTACTTTTATTAAGATTGGGTACAAACTAGTTAGTAAATTAAAAATTAAATAAAAAGTTAATAACTTTTAACTTAATTTAGCTTATATCAAATGAATTAAATTTCGACTTAATGTAATTACTTTAAAACTTTGATTTATTAACACTTTTCTTTTAAAATTAAAATTTGTTTTAGTTTCTTTAAACGTTAATATTTTTTTCTATAAAATCTTAAATATTAAAAAATTAGTTCAAAAAAGCTAAGCATTTAGAAAACAGTATCAGCGCTTATATATCTATGAGATATGTCATTCTATTTTTGTTTTATGTCTGATCACTGATAGTATTTGCAAATATTTATATAAATTCAGTTTTGAAAAAATTAATAAAAGTTTGCAAAAAAATACATTGCTATATAAAACATTATTTCTTTATTTTTTCATATAATTTATAAATAAAATATTAAATTTATTTAATAATTTATATCTAACGTTTATATCTATATTGTAATTTTTTTTATTTAAAGTAATCTAATTTTAAGAGGTCTAGTTATAGGATAGGTCGGAAAAAAAATCAATTTTTTTTTATTATGTTTTCTTAAAGTATATAATCTTAATAATATTACCTCAAAATTTTAAAAGAATCGGTGCACTCATTCAAAAGTTGTGAATATTTAGAGAGCGCTAGCTCAAGTCAGGAGCAATAGCGCTTCACAACTTTCCGCAGACGTCCTTGTGTCGCTCAAAATTCATGGTCACTTACATTCAAGTACGTTAATATTAGTATTTTTTGAAACCTCTATTTGAAAATCAAAACTTTGAGACAGTTTATAGGCTTCCGAACGTTCAACGAAACAACAGTTGGGCAGATGCCCAAGTTAGGTTGCGCGAGTGCAAAAAGAAAAATAAAAGACTTGGAGGCAAGGAAAAATTGACCGGAAAAATGATCGACAAATTAACTGTGTACGGCGATTCACACACTGATTCGGCTGAAGCAATGGAAAGTGTGATTTGGGTCACATTTGATCATTATAGCTCTATCAACGAAGCTTCGCGTCACGAAAAATGCCGTCCCGGAAGTGACTTGTGTGGCAAAGAGCTTATGCAGCACTTCCTGAAGATAAAAAGAACAAGAACGAGACTTTTGAGCACACGTATAAGCCTCTTCCTCCAGATGTTGACAGTCTATCTACAATAATTCAAGTCTATCTACAATAATTTATTTAAAAAGGAATTGCTTGAAAGATGCGTTGGCGAATTTACGCAGAACAATAACGAAAGTTACAATCAACTGATTTGGAAAATCAACCCGAAGAATCTTCCAGGCAGTGCACTCCCAGTTGAAATTGCAACATATACATCTGCCTGCATCTTCTGCCTGCAATCTTAATGTTTAAAAAAATTCTTTTCTAACAAAAGAGAAACGTCTCTGAGGAAAATTATTTGTCACCATCATAAACTTTTTATACAGCATAAAAAATTAAATCTTAGTTATATAACGAGAATCAAGAAAAAAATATAAATGAGTTACGAAATGTTCAGTGAATCCATGATTTTTTTTTTACGTCAAAAGAAATCTAAAAAATTAAATTCTGCGTGATATAAGAATGAAATTCCATTTTTTCATTTTCTAAAAAAAACGGCAAAAAATGGAAAAGGTTAAATTTGAGTTACTCCGACAATAAGAATACCATAGTACGAAAAAGCATGCGACAAAAACTTTTCCGAGATAATAACGAAAGTGAGAGGAAAGGGATTTCTTAAGACAAGCAATGATGTGATACTTATATGTGAGGAAGGGAGTTAATTTTATGTTGTCAAGATTTGTTAGAATCTTGTTCGTAACCAGAGAGTTTTTTTATCAACTCTCACTTCGAAAATTTTCCGAGAAAATCTCTACGTAAAAGGAAGGAAGGAAATCAATCGGAAAAATTGTCAAAATCTACTTGCCAATAGCGTGACTAGAAATTTTTATTGATTCATCTTTTTTTTAGGAATTTTCGATTTTTAGAAATTTGAATATTATTGATGTATAAATAGCACATATTGAGTGAGGTCCTACGTTTAGTCCTACGCTGATTTTTTTCTGTCAAGAGTTGATTTTTGTTGTGAAATTATAAAATCAATAGTTTTCCGTGAACAAAAATGACACTTCGCGAATCGCTTACAAAATTCTTTATCGTCGCCTACAACTTGAATCAGAAATTAGTTGCAGTTGCTTATCTGACAAAGTTATCAGAAAACAACGAGGAGAATTATTCGGTTTTTCGGGTGTTTCGCAGGTGAGTGCTTCAGTACATTGTTGTGCATTATGCACAAACTGGGGCATTGCGGCGGCGATGCGAGATTGATGGAAATAATCTCGCATCATTTAGAAGTACATGATAGAAGTACAAATGCTTTAATCATGAAGAAGATGATGCTGAAGGATACATAGCTGGCTTCAAGGTAAACAATAACATCATATTTTTTGAAATAAATAAAGAAAATTTTTTTTATTAAAAGTTCGCTTCATTAAATTCCAACATTTGTTTCATAGTTTAGAACTGTATTGTAGGCCGGGCGATTCCGCATCGTAGATCATGGCGGACACCCGTTAGGCCGGCTTAATTTGAGGCGACGATGTCCAGCCGAACAAGCGATTAATGAAGTCGTAGCACGTAAACGTTAGAAAGTAATGAAAATTAATTAGAAATTAAATTGCAAATTGAATTAGATAGTCTACTGAAAATATTTAATTTTCTAGGAAGAGCATGAATCGAGGGATTACGCATAATGAGCTCAACATCCCCGTTGTATTATCATCTGATAAGTTGGATTTTAAAATCTTTCTTCAAATAAGACCAGTTCTTGTAAGGATAGAATAATAATAATCAAATAATAAATAAAAATAATAATACTAATGTAAAAATATAATTGTGTTTTAGATGATGAATCGCAGAATTCTGCCCACATACGTATATTGTGGAGTCCCCTTATTCCAGTACGACGTAAGTTTTAAAAAGTTAGCGAAAAATCACAATAAGTTTATGCATAACGAAACGTTACTTTTTAATGCGAGAAAGAAGAGCAAGAGAAGGAGGAGGAGGTTATAGAGAAAAGAAAAGAGGAAAAGAAGGAGAAGGGGGAAATGGATAATAGCGGCGAAATTTTGATGGTGGAATCTATCAATATCACGGAGGTAGAAAAAACGCAAGAAGCTTTGGAGGGGCAAGAAGACGTAGATGAAAGAGAGGAAAAGGGAGAGAAGGAGGATGAGGAAGAGAAAGCTAGATACTAGACTCATGATGTTGAAAGTAATAATATTTCACTAAACTTTTTATATATTTTTCTCGTAATGTATTCTCATGTATGAATTTTTTAGATATTTAATATACGCCGCTTGAATAATACAAATCAATCGAATCGATATTCCGGAGATCTTTATGCGAATGAACAAAGCAACTAAAGGTGAGTTACCTTAGTATGCTAAACATAGTCACTACATTGAATATAACAAAGATTTACAGGTGATATTTGCTTATATACGATTATATATACATATATATATATACCAGGTGTATAAGTTTAAATTCGCTGTTTGCTCATAGGTGGCATTAGTGAGCGTACAAAGGTTGGGCACGTAACACACTGTTTCTTATGTGTTTGACATCTGTCAACATTAATTAGTACACATCATCAGCAATTTCATACAACAACATATATTTTTTCTTTCGTAATCATGTCTAGTTTTTTGCTAAAAAAAAGCATATGCGGGAAGTTTTGCTTTTCTGTTTCAATTTGAAGAAATCGGCTGCCGAATCGTATCGAATCCTTGTGGAGGTCTATGGCGACAATGCTTTATCGGAAACAACGTGCAGAGATTAGTTTCGTCGGTTCAATAATGATTTTGACCTGAGTGACAAGAAGCGTGAAAATCGGCACAGGAATCGCAAAAAATGCTTGCCGAGCAATTGGGTGTTTCTCAAACAGCCATTTCCATGCGGCTACATGCCATGGGGAAGGTTCAAAAGATCGGAAAATGAGTGCCGCATGAACTGAACGATAGGCAGATGGCAGCGTCGCCAAAACACATGCCAAATTCTGCTTGCAAACAAAAAAGAAAGTCGTTCCTGCATCAGATTGTGATAGGCGATGAAAAATGGATCTATTTTCAGAATCCTAAACACAAGAAATCTTGGGTTGATCCCGCCCAACCATCAACATCTTCCTCAAGACCAAATCGCTTTGGACGGAAGACGCTGTGCGTTTGGTGGAGGGTGTCATCTACTACGAGCTGTTAAAACCTGGTGAAACTGTTAATGCTCATCGCTACTACCAACAACTGATCAAATTGCAACCCGTGCTATGGGTGAAAAAAAAAAGGCCGCATTATCGGAAAAGACATGAGATGATTTTCCTCCATAACAACGCACCATCGCACACGTCAACAATGGTCCAAAACTACATGGAGACACTCAACTGAGTAATGCTACCCCATCCCGCTTACTCACCAGACCTGGCACCTTCTGACTATCACCTATTTTCGTCGATGGGCCACGCGCTCGCTGAGCGGCACTTCGATTCTTACGAAGACGTCCGAAAATGGCTTGATGAGTTTGCCTCAAAAGGAACTTTTGGCGTGATATATACAAATTGCCCGAAAGAAAAATGTGGGAAAAATGTGTAGTTAGCGAGGGCAAGTACTTTGAATAAATTTGTTTTTGCTTCCTAGAAAAAAAAATGTGTTTTTCTGATTAAAAAACAGCAGATTTAATACACCCTATATGATGTATATTAATATTGTAACTATAAAGATTTTCGTGGTTTCAAATCTGTCATAATCTGCCACAATATTTTAACATAATTTACTTTATCGTTATCAACGAATAACAAGATTTACATAATTTTTCAGTACAACCGGTGATGACGCCGACAGAGATTACGATCTAATAAATGAAAATGAGGAGAATCCTGCTGACGAGGAGCATCATCGTTATCATTATCATCAACATCAGCAGCAACATCAGCAACATTGTCATCATCACTATCGACAGCAGTATTATCAACACGAGGTTGGCGAATAATTTAATTTCTTAGTGTTACGAGAAGGCGGAAAAGTCGCGACGTTTTAGAAATTTCGGTATTCTCAGAAGAGAGACAAGTTTCGTGGCCAATACTCGAAGGGGCGAATATCGTTTGCTAGTTAAAAAATGCGTTCCGCGAAATCTACGCGTATGCGATTCGTTCGTGCGAACCGGGCGATTACGTTGGAATATTATTCGATTTGTTCGAATCTAGTGCATGGTTCGGCAGGACTATTGCTTCGTCCGGTACGTGACTTAATTTCCGAGGATATATATGGGATATATATACTCGTAAGCTTCGATAGCTTAAAGTGCCAGAGGAATCGATATTGCGGAAAATTTCGATGTACGTGTTTTCAACATCGCGGCATCTTCGGGTGGTGGCCGCAAGTCAAATCGTTTAAAGACGTAATAAAACGCTCGATTTTGCAATTAAATAATTCGGATAATTTGTGTTTTCCATGTTTCCTTGTAGTGGCGCAAGTGCATTGCGAACGTGGAAATCTACGAATGAGTGAACTCCATGAAAAATGGAATTGTATAAGACGGCAGAGTTCCTTGTTATAATCCGAATTAGCGAGAGAACTAATAAGGAACGCTGGAGTCACAATTCCCAAGGAAGGATGCGGAAATTCACGAAATCGAGCGTTTTCAACAGTATTTCGCTGTCGAAAATATTGCTGATGTACAATTTTAGCACTTTCAAATGCGGCGAATATCCGTTATTTGACGGTTACTTGCCTCTCTAGGAGCATCATCGTTATCATTATCATCAACATCAGCAGCAACATCAGCAACATTGTCATCATCACTATCGACAGCAGTATTATCAACACGAGGTTGGCGAATAATTTAATTTCTTAGTGTTACGAGAAGGCGGAAAAGTCGCGACGTTTTAGAAATTTCGGTATTCTCAGAAGAGAGACAAGTTTCGTGGCCAATACTCGAAGGGGCGAATATCGTTTGCTAGTTAAAAAATGCGTTCCGCGAAATCTACGCGTATGCGATTCGTTCGTGCGAACCGGGCGATTACGTTGGAATATTATTCGATTTGTTCGAATCTAGTGCATGGTTCGGCAGGACTATTGCTTCGTCCGGTACGTGAGCCTAGTATTAGATTAAATATAATGTATTACGAACATAGGCGTCATAATCCGATATTAAATGTGAAAGCCGCTGTTGGCTCATGCAGGAGATATTGCCTCGCGTGTAACGTGGGCCATCGTAAAGAGGTTACCGCTGCACGAAAAAATGCTCACGCTGTTACGCCATTCCGTCATGCGAATCCCCCGATGCGAGCCTAATTAGACATGAAACGTGTAATCATACGTTTTACATACGGTACTTGTTTCGAACGTCATCGTGCGGAAAAAACCTACGATAAGCAATCTCCTGCAAGCGTTTGTGAATCAATAAAAATTGATAACAGTTGTGGGCGATTCGTAAAATCAAAATCGAGGCATGAATGCGAGACAGCGTATTGTAAAACTTGCCGATCGCAACGGCCTTTGAATCATTTTTGTTTTATGCGATGTAAAATCATTATCGAGATTCCGAGAGAAGGTACGAGTGGTATGATGGTACAGGAAGAATCTGCACCTAGGGGCGAAATGAGTTTGAAGGTAGAGCAAATTATAAATACAAAAGAGATCCCGTCGCATTCGTGTTCTATGATTTCGAAACGAGACAAGGAATCGAAGGAATCGAAAACATACAAATTCACGTTCCGATTCTTTGAGTAGCGCAACAGATTTGCGAAACATGTGCGGGGATAGACGATGTCGTTGGTGCGGAGTTTATATTTCGAAATGATCCGGTTAAACAATTTGTTAATCTCATAACGACAAAATGTTTCAAAAAGATCGTTTGTAGCACATAATGCGAAAGCGTTAGCGCAATTCATTTTGAAATATTTAATGGAAAACTCGGAAGAACCGCGAGTTAACTTTAAACGAGATAAAAATTATCGTGCTGACGGGAAACACTAAATTTATAGATAGCGTAAATTATTTGTCGATTATCTGATTTGATCAAAACTTTTGGATTGAAGGATACATTGGATAAAAGCGTCTTTCCTCATTTATTTAATATAAAGGCGAATCAAACGGTCCGATATCCGACGCGTGATATTATTCTCCTGATCAAATGAAGCCCGAAAAACGTGAACGGTTTACGAAATGGCACGAGGAAATGTTACGGTCAAACTTTATTTTTAATTTTCAACTCGAAATTGTTGCCGTAATGATGTATTCTCTGACGCTCGTATGATTTAGAAAGATTTTTTTACAACGTATGTCCGTTATGTATGTCCGTTCGAGGAATGCACAACTATCGTGCATGAAAGTTTTTCGCAAAAACTTTTTGCACAAGAAAGAAATAGCAATCATTCTTTCGAGCGGATACAGAAATGCGACTAGACATTCGCGAAAAGCTTTAAAATGATTAGTGTGGAAGGAGCGCAAATTCGCATAATTCGCGCGGGATGAGGACACGAATACGAAATTGACGATAGGCGCGTTGGATACTACGAGTCGGAGTCGGCAAACCGAATGCAACGTTACGTGCTTTAGTTTCACGGATGTTTCTGGCATAGTTGTCCGATATGCTATCAGGTGAATCGTGACAGAATGCTTTTGTCCAGATTGTAATGATATAATTGATGCACGTTACGAGCGAACTCTTACATCGACATATCGTCTTCGAAAACGCAGCTACCACGTTATAGAAAAATGCAAAGAGTGCGATTTCGATCGGGAAAAACGCATCGCGTAGATCAAGAGAATCGGATTTTATTAACGCATCGATCGGGAAAAACGCATCGCGTAGATCAAGAGAATCGGATTTTATTAACGCATGATTCTTATAAAAATCCCGAGATAAGTGATTTTCTCAAGAATCATGCGTTAATAAAATCCGATCCTCTCAACCATGCATTTTTCAGTGATCGCACAGGAAATATTCCACTCGATACGAAACTACGAGCACAGAGAAAATACGCTATGTGGACGTATGCTCTCTGTATTCGTATGTATTGAAAACGGGCTTTCCCAGTTACCCCGATATTTATATCGGCGAGGAATGTAGCGAATTAATCAGCAAAGCACCAAATATTAATTTTGACTCTGTCGAAGGTCTTGTACTCTCACCGTGTAATCTATTTCACCCGGTACTCCCGTAAAGAGTAAAAGGAAAGTTGTTTTTCGCCTTATATCGGAGCTGCTGCGAAAGATAAGATTCTTGCAGGCAATTTGACTCACAATCGTCCTGAAGAGCATGAATTTGAGAATATTTGGATATCCTGCGAATTACGCAAAGCGAGAAGAGCTATCTTGTGACGAGCGTGAGTGAAATCTGATATCAGTATAAAGTCACGCG